CCTCCCAAGATCCTCTCGCCGCTGCCGCTGTTGGATTTAGTTTACTGCATGGATCCCGCAGCGGCCTGTACAGGTTACCATTAGGACGTTGCTGTAGATTCACGCCTGTGTGCGGGCAGAGGTGGATGGCAAGAAACAATTTATTCCTGGGCTGAATTCAGTCCTGCGCTGCATGAGTCACCTGCGGAAACTGCTGTCTGGTATTTTTCAACGAAACTTGCTCATACACTTGCGTTTATTTTAACTTGCCACTAGATGGCTCATATAAAAGAAGGCAAAAAAAATTACACATCCACTAGCATTTTAAACATCCTCTGCTCCAAAGTGTTCTTTCATTTTGGAAACAATGTGAGTGATGAAAATCCATTCACCCTCAATCTACGGTGTCGAGAAGGTATTACACCTTGTGCATACATGGTGTTATGTGGCTATTGCTTTTTTTAAAAAACAATCCTTTTTGAAGAGTACAAACTCAGTACTTTGGCTGTGCTTTTATTTCCCTCAGAATTATTTCAACAATGGTTTGTTTTAAAAATACATCAAAACAGCAGAAGTTTTATTCATTAGGATTTTAGATTAGCAGACCTTTAATACACATTATACTGTTATCTGGTGAGCACATATTGCAAGAGCAGGTAGGCAGCAGAACAACACACTAGATGGATTGTAAAGCTATTAGACTGCTTTCTCTGCCAAATTACAAAAGCATTTCCTGCCTTTGTTTGGATGAAGAAAATGCATACCTGCATATTAACTCAGCCATTTCTGTCTCCTTTTTTTGATAAACTAGCCTCCTCCCAGGAAGATTCCTGTTTTCCCAAATATGTTTCTGTATTTCAGATAGAAATTTGGTCCTGGCTTTTCAAATGTAAGCATGAAAGGTAAAATGAAATAGTAAAATTCAGTAAAGGTTTAAGTGCTTTTGGGATTTGAGGGCTGAAGTTCCTAAATAAATACATAGCAAAACATGCAGCAGATACAAAGGAGATGAGATTTTTGGAGAACTCTAGATAATTTAATATTACCAATCAACAATCATCTTAAGAGTGACATACGAATGTGTGTCATACAGGAGTTACTGGGAAAACAGTTTTGAAGAGTGGACAGATCCCAGGAGGATCTTGCAGAGATGAGGTCTGTATTTTCAGACATATGTTTAGAGGCTGAAAACTGGTGACAAAAACGCCCAGTCTGACAAACTAAGAGGGAACTGAGAGCGTGTTCTTAATGGCAGTCAACAAATTAACAAGACACCTAGAATCACTGCACTGATTTTACGATGCTTAACTTTATTATGCTTGCTGTTTCACTTCATATTTAATCATTCTGTAGTCAAATCGCAAAGAATTCAGCTATTTTGTTAACTGCTTATATTTACAGAACAGATGAAGCCAGTAGTATGAGGCTTATTGTCCTCCTTGAGCAACCCACAGGTATAGTCATGATCATGCCTGGGTCTTGTATATACGTTTCTTCCAAGCAGCAGCAGTGCTGGCTTAAATGTCATACAGGACGTTCATTCGGGCCTATTAACAGTCAGTGCCCAATTGTCTAGACAGTGAATCCACATCAGCACAATGTGTCTGACCTAGTCCGACCCCCAGAGAGATCTGTAAGAACATCATCATTTGATGCATTGCTACCGCCAGAGTTGCCCGTACTTTTCAAAGCAGAATCTTTCTTAATTGGTGGGCATCTTATGTGATGTGCAACTGTGCTTGCACTCCCCTTCTAGGTAGTAGTAAAGTGGAATCATGGTCCAGTGGTAACAGTAATTTGCATTTTAAACATATGACCAAATTTAACATAAACAAGACTAAAATATAATTTGACACTTCACTTAAAAAAATGCCACTAGGTATTACAAAACTGCTACTCATTATTTGTCAGAAATTACTTCCCTCTGCTCCCAGCTATCTCTTCTACTCAAAACTATTTCACTGTTTTTAAAAAACACTTCCTGTTTTGATAGGCTGATCCTTATGTCTTTATGACCTTCTTGCTACAAGCCCAACTTTTTAACTCTCCTTTAGGACAAGCAGGAGAGGTTTTATGTTGGCCCTGGTCCTGTACCTGGGAAGCATTTGGTAGGCTGTGAATCACATGGTATTAACACATAACTGCACGTCCAGAATGCCTCTCCAAGGGGCAGCAGTCATGGACCTAACTTGAAGGCAGCTCCTCACCCTGCAGCACACCTATGAGAAGTTACGGAAAACCTGCATTTAAAGTTACATGTTAGAGGAAAGTTAGTGTATGAGAAGCTCTTTATTTTCTGTGTTACCAGCTATCCTCCTTTTTTTTTTTTCAAGTGTGAAATATGCGTTTATAAGTAGACTATTATCTGAAAGTACCTTACATACTGAAATATCATTTAAAAATAAAGATTTTTTTTGAATCAAAGATGCTATTGGGCTTTTTTTGGCTATTTACTGACACATTCTTTTAGTGCAGATGCTATATGCAATAAGAAGGGGGTTTAATTGCATTGTGATGGACAGTTTCTTCCTGCTATCTCCACATGAAGGCACACTTTATCTACCTTTTCCACTGTCTTCTCAGCATCTCTCTTTTAAAAATGCTTTGTACATTAGCATTACTGCTTTGTACATAAACACTGTCCCAAGAAAAATTTCTATTTTGTAGTAAAAAGGAGTTTGTAGCTGTATACGGGAGATGTGAAGAATAAGATTCAGCAAGCATAGTACTGGGAAATTATATTGAGAAAGTGCTAATGAGGCCAATGGAAAATATTGCTTCAGACACACTTAGATATTGGGAGGAAATTCCTATTAACTTGTTCTTCCACAAAAATTTCTTTGAAATTTAGCTTAGATACTTACTGGTGCATCAAAACTTACAGATCTTCGGAAGCTCTAAGGTACCTTAAGATACCCCTGCATTTCGGCTGCAGTGCTGTCCTGAGTAAGGACTAAAATCCACTGATGCAAAAAACACTTGTGATGCACCAATAGTTTTGCCTCCAGGTCTCTCTAAGTGAACAATCCAGTAGCTTTACATAACAAGGTCTTGTAACAAAAATCCCTAGATTTTAATAAAGTAGTTGCTACACTTTTATGAAAGCCAAATCCGTCCCTAAACATAACAAGGTCTTGTAACAAAAATCCCCTAGATTTTAATGAAGTGGTTGCTACACTTTTATGAAAGCCCTAAACTGCTGTAATGGCTGCAGTTTTCTGTGAAATAGTGCTTTGACTGTGAGGAAGCTATGAGAAGATATTAATTTAAAATTCTACTACATGCGTCTAATTTGTCTGCAACTTTGCAGGTTTCAAGGAATAGTTGAAGTAGCCACCAAATCCTCAATTTTTGTATTTAAGAAGTCTCACATCTTATTTGTCACTTTAATTGTAGTACAGCTTCTACTTTTGGGTAGTTTTGATGACTGCATCAAAGTCTATAGCCTGTATTTTTGTTGTTGTTTGTTTTTAATGTCTTAGGGAATACGCCAGAGTTTCACCATGGGAGCAGTAGTAGCTGATGATGGTCCAACTGGTGTTAAAGCCCCTGATGGAGGCTGGGGCTGGGCTGTCCTTTTTGGCTGTTTTATCATCACAGGATTCTCCTATGCCTTTCCTAAGGCAGTTAGTGTCTTCTTCAAAGAACTTATCAGAGAATTTGGCGTTGGATATAGTGACACTGCATGGATTTCCTCCATCCTGCTGGCCATGCTTTACGGCACCGGTAAGTGGCTACCTCTTTTTGAAACAGTATTACATGTAAATCATACATTTACATTGGGGATCCCGATCTCCAATCTCCCGATTGGTGCAAAATTAAGGCATTCCAAAGAACTATTGCAAATCATGTGATTCCTGAAATCTAAGCACATCCACCTTGCCTGTAAAAGTAAATCCCTGTAATTAAGTAGTTATTGAACATGTTGAAAAAACGCATGACATTTTGAAGATAAAAAGGACTAACTATATGAGTAAAGAGAAACAACTCCCCTCCTAGGTTGGCCTGACAATCTGGGCAAAGTATAGAAAGAATTGCAGACTGACATAAAATAATTGAACAGTTCCCCCACTAAAACGTAGTGACTGTAACTTGTTCTTCTCTTCCAGGTCCACTCTGCAGTGTGTGTGTCAATCGCTTTGGCTGTCGCCCTGTCATGTTGGTGGGTGGCCTTTTTGCCTCCATGGGGATGGTCATAGCCTCGTTCTGCACAAGCATTGTTCAGATCTATCTAACTGCAGGTGTGATTACCGGTAAGTCGAGTGCATGCTTGAAAAGCTAATCTTTCAGCTTTCAGTGTGAACGTTCATATAAATGGTAAATCTCTAAACTGTCAGGGTCATCCAGATGGATTTTTATGAAGACAGCAGTTCAGAATGGAATGAACTTGTTGTATTTATTTATTTTTTGAATGTTATTTTTTTTCTCGGTATGTTCAGTGGTCACAGCTATAATCAGCAGCCTGTATCTGTAGAGTGTAAGAATAATACGGAGCTAGAACTCTTTCAAATACTTTGTTATCCTGGATTTTTTACATCCATTGAAGTAAAGCTGAATGAGAACTATAATTAGAGATTTCCTATAGCAATATTGCAGACTAGTATTAATTTTTGTGTATACTGTGTTACAGGTTTGGGTCTGGCACTCAATTTTCAGCCTTCGCTCATCATGTTAAATCGTTACTTTGACAAACGCCGTCCTTTAGCCAATGGGCTATCTGCTGCTGGGAGCCCAGTGTTTCTTTGTGCCCTCTCACCACTGGGGCAGATCCTACAGCATGAATATGGTTGGAGAGGAGGATTCCTTATACTGGGTGGGATGCTGCTCAACTGCTGTGTATGTGGAGCACTAATGAGACCTTTGGAACCACCCAAAAAGTCTGAAGCTACCAAAGAAGTTGAAGAGAAGAAAGTGAAGAAAAAGCTTCTGGATTTCAGTGTGTTTAAGGATGGTGGTTTTGTAATCTACACGCTAGCAGCCTCTATCATGGTGCTTGGACTCTTTGTGCCACCAGTTTTTGTTGTGAGCTATGCCAAGGATTTAGGGTATCCAGACACAAAAGCAGCTTTTCTTCTGACTATTCTGGGATTCATTGATATCTTTGCTCGGCCTATTTGTGGAATGGTAGCAGGTCTCAAGTGGGTTAGACCACGCTGTGTCTACCTCTTCAGTTTTGCTATGATTTTTAATGGCTTTACAGATCTTATGGGTTCCATGTCTGTTGACTACGGCGGCCTGGTGGTCTTTTGCATTTTTTTTGGCATTTCTTACGGAATGGTAGGTGCTCTTCAGTTTGAAGTTCTCATGGCTATTGTTGGTACTCAGAAGTTTTCCAGTGCTATCGGTTTAGTTCTCCTGGCGGAAGCTATGGCTGTCCTAATTGGTCCACCATCAGCAGGTAAGTACTCCATTTAGTTCAGAAGTCAACATCATTTGCATTGCACCTATTTATACAAATTACATGATAAGGGGGAGAAAAAGAAACAACATGAGTCACTCAAGAAGTGTATATTGTGTTAATGTTGCATATGCTTATGCGACTTTCTGCAGCTACAGTGGGATGAATTCTGTCCTTTTTTTTTGTCTTGGGCCTTTTTACAATTGGTTGAATTGCCACCTGGAGATGCTCCTTTTCCTGCACCGAAAACCTTTCTTATTAGTTGATGACTAATATTATATGAGATTAATTTCATGCACACACAGCAAATAGCTTTTATGAAATTCAGATTTCTTTGTATTTGGGAATCAGAAGATGAAATCTGTCAGATTATTTCAGAAAGTACTGGGATAGAATCTGTATCCCCATGAGAGATTTGAAGGAGGGAAAAAAAAAAGCTTCAAAAGATGAACAAGAGAAAAAATGCCTTATAAGGAAGACTAGGAAATATTAGGGCTGTTTTAAGGGGGGTAGAATGACTGTTTCTGCTGCACATGACCCACAGTCCAAGACTAAGGGGACGATACAAAAAAAAAATCACTACTAATTATATCACATAAGTTCTACATGACACTGGACCGAAAGAAAATAAAATTCACTACCAGAGAATGCGGTTTATACCAGCCACTTAAAAATTATTCCAGTATCGTTACTATGACAGAATCCTTTAAAAAAACAGTACTATGCATTACTTTTTGTGACATTCAGGCTTGGAGCCTCCCTTCTCTTCACCTGCAGCCAATCCAAGGAATATTTAACTTGAATAAAGCATCACAAATTCAGTTGCTCCAGACTGACTGTTAAATAAAATTTAAATTTTAAGTAGACCAACTGCTTGCAAAATACACTGCTTGTCTGGGAGGGAGAATGAGGTTGGGAATGACAGGAAGCTGATGATACAGATCCTGGCCCCAGATGCAATATTTTGACCTGAAAGGTATGGTGCTTGTCCCATCCCCTGTATACTCAGCCTAAGTTGGTTTCATTCCAGCTGAACTGCATGACAGTGTGTGTGGGGGCAGGGAATATGTGTTTCAGATTATTAAATATTTCTTAGTAAATGCTAAGTTGACATTGAAACACTAGTGAACTCTTTTGTTACAAACTTTTAAAAATTTTGTTTTAAAAAGCTAGTTACATAATCAGGGGAGGTCTGACCACCAGTCATTTAAGTGCTGGACTTGTTTTAAAAAACAGACAAAAAATGTTAGATAATTATTTTTGTTAATTTCCTGGGATGTTGTCTTTTTCAGGAAAACTCTTGGATGCAACGCATAAGTACATGTTTGTTTTTATTATTGCTGGAATCGAAGTTACCACCTCAGCACTTGTACTGGCTCTAGGAAATTTCTTCTGCATTAAGAAAAAAATGGAAGAACCACATACAAAAGAAGAAGCAGCAGAAAGAGAGGAATTAAACAAATCTGAAGACAAAATTCCTGAAGATGCCAAGGTGGACTCCATTGAAGTAGAACAGTTTCTGAAAGATGAGCCCGAAAAAAATGGGGAAGTTGTAACTAATCCAGAAACATGTGTGTGAGCATGACAAGGAACTGACAGAGCATTTAGAAAAAAAAAAAAGTCCAAGATCTTCAACACTATTTATTTTAGAAATAGAACTAGTTTAGGTTTGGGCCATCTGCTTCATTAACTGGAGGCCAGACAGCTTATCAGGATTCTCTGGAAGCTGTTCTGTTAGACAACCTTTTACCAGAAAGCTAGCTTTATCAGTAAAAGGTGAAGCATTGTGGTTATACTTTTAACATTAACTATACAGATTTTGTAAACACAAGTAGAGTCCTGCTATGCATCACCAGAGAATTCTCACTTGGAAGAGATATATAGGAAGAATCTATTTTAGGTTATATGTATGTTTTCAGACAGTATGGCTGAAATTGTTGTTTTGTGCAGCTAAATGTAATTTCCCTTTCCACGTTCTTTGTGAAGGGAAAAGAGTTTGAGATGCAGAAAAATCTCAGGAATTTACAGGTCTCCAATAGGTATTTGAATTTCTTACTTTTTTAGATTTTTAGATTAATTGGCTCAGTCCTAATTTAATTTTGATAATATCTGTTCCTTTGATTTATGCAAATGTATTTCTATGAGTTTTGTCTAAACCTGTGATCTTTGTAATTATCATCTGGAAACACTGTGCATGGAAAAGAAGATACTGTCCTCAGCAGATCACACAAGTGGTATTTCTAAGTAATACCAAGAGAAAATAAAATGAACAGACTTGATTCTGACAGATTATAAGCAAGCAAGGTTAGTTCATATTCTCATACACAGTTTTCAGAAATCTCCCCGTAACACAGAAAAATACTAAAAATAACACTGAAAAGACAGATACTAGGTTTAGTAGAGTTATCACCAAAGTCTCCATTTTGTATATAGAAAGAGGGAGAGGTTTCCAGATCATGTGCAATGAGACACACAGATGTTAGTTAACTTAGGAAAAAGGACTGGGCTATTTTGTATTTTGAATCATGTTAAAGTTAAAAATGCAATGCTAGCAAGGTAGGCAGGTCTTAAAGTGTTGCACCTTTTTTTTTTTTTTTTTTTTTTTAAAAATTTGCCCCACTTCCCTATCCTTTTGCTTGGTCTAAAGAAGTTCAAGATGCTATTCTTGATTAAGAAAAGAGGATGGAACTGTTGATCACATTTATGATAGCAGTGTGTAAGGACCAATCAAGATTGGGGTCTGCTTTGCTGCTCATTGCACAAACAGAACAGGGAGTGTCTCCAGAATATTTAAATCTTCTCCAGTATTAGATGGGTGAAGGAAATAAAGCAAGCAGAGCAGAGTGCAGTGACAGCACATTTGAAGAACTGCAAAAAGGGAAAATAGTAATTGGGAGAACATTATCTCAATAGAAAAAGCAAGTATCTCAATAGAAAGGGCACTATCTCAATAGAAGAAGCAAAAGCAAGTAAAGGAACGGATCCTATATATTCTACCAGTTATTCACTCAAACACATTGAAGACATTTATGCATTCTTTTATATAAAATTATGCTACAGCAAATCACCTTTCAGCTATGTACGTAAAAAATTCTCTGGGCTTTGTAACTGCAGTAACAATCTTCAAAATGGACTCGACTGTACCTGATTTTTTCACTGATTTCTCTTAATAATTTAAAACTATGAAGCTCAAGAGTATCCATTCAATATAGTACTTCAGTTATTTCATAACTGATCATTTTAGCAGAAACACAGAGTAAATCCAAGACAAGTGCCAAAACGTGAATCATTCCCTAATGCGCTCCCTAACCAGCTTCCATTTTGGTAATTTTTAAAAATTGGTTTTTCATTATTAAAACAAAAGTTCCACAGATGTTGAAACCTTAGGATTATGAAGTTTTTGGGTTTTTTTTCCCCCAGTTTGAAAATGAAATGGATGCTGCACTGAATAAATTGCATATTTTTATACTATATAGATCAAATTACTTTAAAAATCTTTTAAATTTAGCATCAGGAAATGCTCTGGCATGTCCTGGTGGTAAAAACTTAGTTACAGAACTTCCAGTTTGACAAAGAATATGTCAGTATTTGGAAGTAGTGCATTCCGCAGGAAAAAGGGGAAGAGGAAAAAGGAATGCACAGATCAGTTCATGATATCCCCAGAGACTGCTTCAAATGCTGCAATAATGATAAGGCCTGATAAGGCTTTCAGGTTGGAGTTCCCTGTTCTGTTTCAGAAAGCAAAAGCTAAACGCCTTTCCAAATGTGAGTTCAACATCTCAAAGTCATTTTTTTCCTACTGTGGGTTTTAATTTCCAAGTTCCTTTGCTGGAGAATACTATGCTGTTATCACTGAATTTAAATGGCTCTTCTTTTTTGCTATATGTTTTGATACAATTTTAAGTTTCAATAAATCCTGCAAAGTCCAGATTTAACATCTCTTAAATTCAGGCTTACAATTTACTATACTGACTTTCTAGACTATATGACATTTTCCGCACATAATGGCCTTACAGTAGTTAAGCTACAATCAGATGTTAGAGTTTTATTTGATCGGAGTGAAAGAAGGAGTCATTAAGACACGGGGAAAAACATTTCAATAGGAATCCATAATAACTTCTGCAGTAAATCTAGTAAAGTGCCTCTTTGGCCTATACAAGCTCTTTCCATTGCCTAAAAAACAGACTCCTCTGAGTCCCTGTGCTATTTGCAGCACAGGGCTACTGAAGGATTGCAATATTCATGGAACCAGAAGGTGGTTACTGCATGGAGGAGGCCAAACCACAAGACCACTTTCTTGACTCTCAGAAACAGGCTTACAATTTCATTTGCTAACTAGTACGAAGCCGGAGTTCTGGAGCCAGTTAAGTTCCCAGCCTCCTTCCTATCCCATTTTTGGGTGACATCTGGGTATGTACTAGCTCTTCAGTCGTGTTTCGCTCTGTTGGATGGAGTTCCTTGGCAGGAACTGATGGGAAAGAAACCTTCGTGCATGCCAAACAGATCCACAGGCAGGAAAACTGGACCAATGCGCTAGGACGTGCCGAAACAGGTATCCACCTCTCCCATGGACACAGACACACAGGCCTTTACATTGAACTCCTCTTTTATAGACCTTCCTTCCTACACCAAGCTGTAAAAAGCTGCAGAAATCCTAAGGTTCCAAGTACTGTCTTGTTAGGAACTCTGTTGTATATAGGAGAATGTATCAGAACCATTTTCTTAGATACAAGACTAGCTTGCTCCATATTAAGTTAACTTTGCTTATTGCAAATCCGCAAGGAAATACTCTTAAATCTCTCCATTTTTTTTTTAAGGCATTTCTTGCGTCTCTGCACTGTTTAGACATAAACTCCTAAGTTGCTTTTCTGATATTCTGTAGTCTCTCATCTGTTTAGGAAAGGCAGTGGTCATAAAGCTGCTAGGGAGACACCAGCTGCCTCCAAAAGGGAGACAGAACAGCACCCTGCAGCATGCACCCGAATGCATCTTTGTGTCATCTTCACCTGGTTACAATTCTGCGATTGGAAAACTGAAGAGCAAAGGTGGGGGGAGGACAAGTAGTTACAGAACTGAATTATACCAAACATCACAAAGGTAGTATTATAACTTGCTCTTTCTCCTACATGTTAAACTACTGGAACAAATGTAATTTCTTAAACATGCAGTTCACGAACCTATTTAAGAAGCCCGTGAGGGAAACGATCTCAATACACTGATGCAGAAAATCCAAGTATAATAAACAAACAATAAAAAAGGCATTTTTATAGATTAGTTATCTGAAACTAACGGTCTGTTCTCTTAGCGTACAGGCTAGTGTAATTTTTAAAGCTTCACAGATCTTTGTACATCCTATACCACAAGATTGATAGTTAAAATGTTCTGACTCACAGATCTTAGGCCCTTAATTTCCTTATGCAAGGAGGTGCACACACGTTTGTAACTGAGAAGGTGTGTAACGTGTGTGTGTTTGTGACTCTTCCTCTCTCTCCGTGTGTATATGCGCACACACACTAAACGTAAAATACCATTAGGTAATGAGCAAGGCGGAGTTAAAATATTTTTTCCTATACATTTTTAAAAAAATTTCTAAATAAAATAGTTTGTTCCTATTTAGATCCCACAAGAACTCAATATTAAAAATCATGAAATGGTGCAGCTGTCTAAAAAAGCAGTTCTCAGATTTTATTTTTGTCCAGTCATTAAATATACTACAGCAGATTTTCCATACTACCTGTTGAACAGCTAACTCCCTATATATGAGAACTTGGAAAAGTACAGTATGAACACTGGCACAGATCTTGTGCTTGTTAGTATTAAAACACACCCAAAGGAATACATTGTAGGCAATGTAAAACAATTCTCTGAAAATAATAATTAAAATTCCCAAATAAGGGGTATATATTCACCTTTGTTACCTCCCAAAGGTTTAATTTGGCAGGCAACCATGTGCAGAGTGCTTTCGAGACACACGTTTTTACTTGTTACAAAGGTAAGTAGCTGAAGACTTGTGTTTGTGTCTCTGCTACGCTTGTCTCTGGGATTATATGAGTACACTTCAGTTTTCTGCTTAGTGGGTTGACTTTTTTTTCCTGTTAACACACCTTAATGCAATATGTGGGTTTATCCTTACATGTGCTTTATGCTTTTCTATAAACTGTCCTAAATGTAGTGAATAAATATGTTGGTGTCAGGAAATAAGCTTAGAAAAAAATCCCTGTCTTTGTTTAACACACGATTTACAAATCACATTCAGTAATGCACCTTGATTTGCACATGCTCAAAGTCACACAGAACCTGAGTGCTCATGAGGAGAGGAAAAAGGAACTCAAGAGCTGGACTCTTGGTGTCAAATTTTATTGCAGGTAAGGGAACTGCTTTTGCAATGACCCCAGCTTTTACATACTCCAAAATGGAAACAGACCTGAGCTCCTGAGATCATTTGGAAGCAACTACTTTAAAATAATAGCCATTAATTTTGTGGTGCCTCACAGAGAAATTTCTATCTTTGTCCCCCCCTAAGGTGCTTCAGGTTTTGTTTACAGGTAAAATTTTATTATCTGTTTTGAAATACAAAACACATAAAATATGTGTTTGAGCAAATGTACGATTATTGATTTTTTATATTAGTTTGGCTAAAAGGATGAGACTTAAGGTTTAATCAAATTCTTGGAGAAGAAACATCGAAAGACTTAAAAGTTTCTTTGGTAGCAATGGAAATAGCCTGACAGACAGCACTGTCTTTTGCACTTTTTAGCACTGTGTACAGCACGCTGCTGTGTTTTGCTACCCCACTGACCAAATCAAACCAATCCCTGCTAAAGGAATGAATTTTAGCCTGAATCAACAATTTGTTAGCATGCATTCAGCACATCCTTCCAAACTGAAAACAAGTGATAGGCAATGTAAATATTGTTTTCAAACCAGAAGTGAAAACATCCCCCTAAGCAAGCAAACAAAATGGAAATCCCAAATAAACTCATGTGTTCATCTAGGATTTGTTGCTTCCCAAATAAATTTTAATTTGGCAGGAAAAGCCACAAGTTTATCACTGCCCCTGGCACTTCCATAGTCTGGAAGTAGCAAGAAGGGCATGAGCTGAATTGCACAGCTCCTCCTCTCTACTGCTGGACTCAAAACAAGAGGAAGCCAAACTGGTGAAGGAAGATAAAACCCACTGGTATTTTGAAGAGTGAACAACTAATGATAGTAGATGCTTTGCATAGAAGTACAGCTTTGGAATGAGATATCTTAGCAGCCTTCTCCACTTTTTTTGTCTTTAGACAAATATGTGCATCTACAGTAAAATTCAGGGCTCCTACCATCTCTTGCTAGTGATGCAGAGGCTGAGCAGTCCTGTATTTGTTTGAGAAAGAACGGGAAGCCAGGAGGAAGACAGCGTGAAAAGCTACTTACCTATACTTACTGCTAGGCTTCGTTCCTGGACCCATCTCAATACCTGCTTGGTCATCTTGGCAACATTCCAGCTGGCAACTTCCTCACTATCTCTAAATTAATGCTTTGGAGCCACAAGGAATGAAGACAGTCTGACTCTTCTGTCTACTATTATCTCAGAAGTTAAAGGCTTTCACTGGAAAACTGAAGCCAATAAAGAAGTGTATCCAGATTTTTATATTTAAGATGCCTTAAATAACAAGACTTTTCAGCTTGCTAAAAAAACACATGCTTAAGATCCATGACTGACAATTGAATGTCAGACAAACTTAACAATAAAATAAAATACTATTTCTGTTTTGGACTATGCAAAATACCAGAAGCTCTCTATTGCCTTCATGGCTTTAATACTTGCAGCTCTGGTTCAAGATAAGGTCTGTAACTAAACCAAATGTTGCAGTCGTTTGTGGGGTCAGAACTGAACACTTCCCTCACAGTTGATAATGTTCCAGCTGATTTCCTGTTTTATTTATTCCCCCAAGTATCCTGGATTCATCACAGGAAACAGACACAACCAACAAGAGCTTAATGCTTTAAAATTCACATATTTTGAGTCCGGAATTTCCCCACAAGTGAGATTAGCGAAGAACATGATACTAAAAGATGTTTTCTTTTGTGGGGGTAGACTGTGCAAGTCATAGGTAAAGAACTTCTGCTGTTAAGTCTTCTGCTGCAAGTTGTACATATGCTTGCAATATACCATGACTTGGTCAAAAAAACTGAAACAGACTAGTTTTACTTAAGAAAAAACAAAACAAACAAACAAAACCCCACCAAAACAATGCTGGAACAAGAGTCATAAAGCAAGAGTCATATGCAGTTATCTGCTGGAAAGAGCCAGCAGGATTTTGCTGTGAAGCAGATTCTCAGTGAAGATCAGCCCTCTGAACACTTCCCTAGTATGAAAATATTGAATGATGTAAATGGTACTTAGGTTCACAAAGTCACTTGCATGTACAAGCATAGATATAACACGATTACAAGATACCTGAATGAACCACAGGGACATGTAATGTTCTTAATGAAATGCTGCACTAACAGCCAAAACTTGTTACTAGCCTGTCTCATCCCTTGTATTTTAGAAACTACTTCATCATTGCAGGATTAAGTTTATAGTAGATTACCGTTCCTCATAACTGAGTTAAATCTGGATTTCTGACTACATCTCAGTACTATCAAAAGAAAACCATCAATGTTGTTGTTTTCACTCAGTATTTTATATACACAAAGTGAGGATTGCTAGATGATAGAAGGTACTTTTACAAACCCAAGTTGAAGAACAAAAATATCTTTTTTTATTTACAGGGATTTTCATTCTCTTACAGAAAGTAAAGGATCATTCTTTACAGAAAGAACACAAACACTCCACCCACTGATGTACCCATAAATCCTTAATTTCACTGTAAAGATCTTTGTTGGAAAATTCCATTTCTGAAAGCGTTACCTTTGACAGTGTCAACAGAGGAGCTGCCGTTCTGAGGTCTGGAGGACAGGGAAAGCAAAACAAGAAGCAGTCGGGCTCATGACACCTTTCCCCACTTGAGAATGAAGGATGAGAAGCCCCTAAATTCTACACGACTTTCTCCAAGGGAGATTTCAAATACCTTCATGAAATTAACAAGTGGAATACACGGACTCTCTAAATCCTCTTACATCAATGTATCTTTTAAAATATAGGATTTATTATCAACTGCTTTTAAGGTACTTGTATCACATAGAATTCAGACACTCAAATACCAGCATTATGTTCAACTGCAGCACAAGTGATATTTTCCACATAAAAGAACATATACAATTTTGATCGAAAACTATGGGGATAAAATAAAGAACTTTCACCTTTCAAAGATCTGCAAACAGAGAGACCAAAAGGGGCTCCTGAAGGCCTGTCTGCCCTCAGATTTTGTAAACTTTTGAGGTTTATGTGCCAAAAACAAGGAATTTTATTAAGCAGCACACTGCAGGTAAAGATAAATATTCTTGTCTTCCCAAGCTGCTTATTAATATAAGGTATTGGCTGGTAAAACAAAGCCTTTACAAAAACACTTCTGTAAAAGAAGCAATATCCCTACAAGCAAAAATTACCTTAACAGAGAAGAAGACTCACTTTCTGGGAAACAAGCAGTGAATGCCTGCTTTTCCTTCCTCTCGTGCACCCTACCAGCTGTATCCTGACTGACTACCAAAATCCTTCAGTGAACGTTTAATATTACCACAATTTCTTCAAGTGTTCATAATTGAGAATGTTCTTTACGTGTACAGAAACCCTTTAAAAAGTTAAACAAAATTACACCACAGAAAGAGTATGGAGGCATCATGAGTAAGTTACACCAAGGAAGAATAGAAGTCATTATGAATGTATTTACACAATTGTTAAAGTACACAAATACAGTGATAGTACAAATGAAATACTCTTGAGCTACCGGTTTCCAATACACAGGTTCATACAGACAGTCTAACTATGTTTTCACATGATGGAATTTAACTATTATGAAGGACAAGAATTGCCCACAACTGAGTACAAGTCTAGAAATCTGCAGTCAACATTTAAGTATAGTATAGCAATCTAATGTTCCAGATACAGAAGGAATAAAGAGACTGCCTTTGAAAGTCCCTCTAACAGTACATATTAACCACAGATATTTACAAGGAAAGCACAGTGAAGCGTAGAACTGTTCAAATGATAGTGCACATGCCTAAAATACTGAAGATTGCAGTAACTCAGGAAAGAAATCTGTTATGCAAACTTATTTATGGATCAAACTCTTACGTTTTTCCACTACACTCTCCCAAACACAGTTTTCCTGTCAGACCTGGAGCACACATACCTGTGGAGTTGGTGTTCTGAACATTTCTACAGAAAACCCAGTAATACTTACTATGTGATTTTTGAGGGAGCGAAGAACTTGCCCACTTTTGAACAATAAATACTATTCTTAATAAAACTTTGAAGGCATATAAGCCATTAAATAATTTGTTTTCAAGCAGAGAAGAGTTTCTTGAAATAGTTAACTTCTCAAACAAAAGCTGCATATGTATTTTCATTTCCAGCATAGGACTTCCTATAACTTCAGTGATACTTGTAAAAACAGTACTTCTGATACTGTTCCAATTACTATTAGGACAAAATATCTATTTTTTAGGACTTTTTACAGAAATAAACAATATAAAGATTATCCTATATTCCTGAAGGACATGTGCCAAAATACCTGCAAATTTTTTTGGACAACCTAAACAAGCTGTGTCATTCATTCCTAGTTAATGGTTAATGATTCTGGAAATACACAGATCGATTATGATTAAGAACCAAATAAGGTATATACCAGAGTTTTGAAAATTCTCAGCATTTCACAGCAAGAATACCTTCGTTAGAATCCTTTTCTGAGTCTTGGCGTTAAACAGAAGGCCAGAATCATTTTTTGTTTCTGAACATGTAGTTGTTAAAGTAAACATATCAATTCATTGGAGACTGAGTCCCTCAAATCCCAGTCTTTCAGTTTGTTCTTCACAACCTTTACAAACAAGAAATCCATTATTAACATCTCTACTATACTTAGACTTTCCTGCAGGATCTTTCATCTTCTTCTGTTATGCAGAAGAATGAGTATTAAAAATTCCTTTGTGTTACAAGGAAAGTTAAATGCAAATGTGAATGAAGGCAGCAAGCAACAAAATGTAATTCTAAGTTTTAAAATTTTCATGAGGAAACCTTCTCATTCAGAATGGGATCATACAAGAAAGTAAACAGTTTGAATGGAGTCAGATGGTTTGGATTCATTTGCATGTTCCCCGCCAGACTATATTTTAAACAAGAAATTTCAAGTCATTGTCTTTAGGATTGTTTATATTCTACATTTTTAAATCAGACAAAAGGAAGATAGAGTTCTTTACAGATAATTAAGCCAATAACTTTAGCAAAATGATACAAAAATTTTCTGAAACCAAGTAAAAGATTTACAGTTACAGTAGAATACTAAAAAGGGGTAAAGTCTGCTGCCTGTGGAGGGAGAATTAAAATGGCCATCCAATAACAGGCAGTCATCTCTGTAAACCATCTTTCTTTTCCAGCCCTGTTACTACGGAGTTCTCTTAAGGTCACTGGGTTTCTGGCAAAAGCGTCCTGTAATGGCAGCTGCTGGAGTATGTTCACGTTCCTCCAAGTGCCTTTTAAGTCACATGGAGAACTCCTGTTGTAATGTTTCCACTCTAATTTAGGGTATTTTTGCTAGTAAAGCCATTGGCAACATAGGAGATCAGCCATGCATTATCTGCCCTCCACGGTAAAACAATTTTCATCGGTGCACAGCAGACTGGAGAACACTGGTAGTTACCCGAGCAGGAATCTACCGAAGCCAAAAACAAGAGAAGATCAGCACAAGTCCTTCCTGTTAACATACAAATGTCTCTCAACATACTTTCATACGATTTGTTGTCAAAAAGTGTGTGAATCTATAATCCAAAGGACTACTTAATGCTTCACACCCACCTGTAGCGACATGAAGTTCCCTGCATTTTCCTCCGTTATTGGAAGTTAACAAGGAAAATTCACCTTTCCAGCCAGAACGGGTGTTTTGAAGAAAAAGTAAACAGAGCATAAACAGGAACACAGGAAAGAACAAACCAGACGAAAACAGAACCCATGCGGAGAAATAGAATCAATGAATGTTGGGGAAAAAAATCCCAAGATGAGGGTGAAAATAATTATCTTAAATGGCGTTTTTAGTTTTGAATGGAACATTGTGTTAAAAGGCATTCCAGAAGTTTCCCTAGCTTGACCTATTTCACTTTTACTGTGAAAGTGAAAAACAATCATGCATCATCGCAATTTAAGAAGTGAGAAATGTCAAAGTAGTTAAGTCAATATTCATTTCAGTTGTAAATAGCCACAAAGAGTAAAGCATATAGCAAAGGCTAAACAATGCAGAGACAACCCTGAGCAGCTGGAACCTGTAATTCTCACATACATGAACTTTTCAAAATATATACATATATATATATATATTTTAAAATTAAGGCCTGGTTATTAGGCTCTGAAATGTCAATCTATCATTTAAAGTTGGATCTTTTTAATGTTACAAACTGTTTAAGAAGCAGCTTGTGCCAAGCAGCCAAGCACACAAGGCAGGAGAAAAACAAAGAGAAAGAGAGCAGGATTCTTCACCAATTAGAGATACAGGATTAGTGCAAGCTTAGAATTTAGAAAGTGAGGCAGCAGACGGTGAAATTTTAAAAGGAACAGAAAAATCTCATGATCTTCTTTAAAAAAAAAAAAAAAGGCAAAGCAAAGAAGAAGCTCCCGAAATATTTAAGAATGCATCCTTCAGAACATCAAGGTTTGAATTCCAACTTAAACTTGCTGCTTTCTGATGAAACTCTATTGATAAAAGCAGAATGGACTAAAAAGCTGAAAACTGCACACGAAAAGGCAGAAACTTTTACTGCAATGATCAATGGAAAGCAGTCCTAAATATCTAAACCTAAGTCTGTTTGGTTTCAAGATGCTCAATGTTCAAATTAATTTCATTAGTATAACTGATCTCAATATTTTTAATATGACAGCTCATAAGGAATGCAGAAGAATACAGATAATAATACTGTAATAGAACATTCCATTCATGACAAGACAAAGCCTCATCTGAGTAATGTAGTCAGTTAATTCTTTGTAAAATATTTTGTTTTTATGATTCTGAAGCTTGATCTGGTTCTGAATGGATGATACTCAGTTCTATGAACATCTCTGGAAAGAGGCATAATTCTAGAACAGCTATGATTTAGACTTAGTTATTTTGTCTTTCATGCCCGAATGACTTCAGTGACTTTTTAAGTCACTATTTTTTTTAGTTCTGCTGAGTCCAAGTGGAACAGCAGCAACAACTCAACTTTTGGAAAGACATTTACATTTAGAAGAAAATAATGCTTCATCAAGCGTCTGATCGGAAGGCACAGAAACAGCGCACAGCTATGAGATAATGTGAGGAGGAGAAGCAAAGATTGATGTTACTGAAGATTTTTCTCCCATTCCATCCAAAGTTTGTGTGTCTAGTGAGAAGCACTCACCCAGTGCTGCCTTCCAACGAAAGGAGACGAACAGCTACTTGCCATGGTGTTCGAAAGGAATGCTATTCTGAGGTGGGGGAAAAGACAGCAATTTGTAACAGTTTCACTGTCCAAATATGACTATAAAAAGATGACTACAAAAATCCACTTCAAAATTGTAGTTGCAACTATATACCTTTTGAAGAGCTTGCATTTCAGATGTCTATCAGATATTTCTATTATACTAAGAAATACTTAAAAGGAACAAATAATTACTCATCAAAGAAAAATGAGAAATTCCAGGGTCAGAAGAGCAATGTAGAGTATGATGCCTCTTAAGATGAATGTGTAGAGAAAGGTTTGCTCACGAGGGGTTTAAAAATGCAGAGATACTGGAAACATGTTGCTTTTTTCCCAATGGAGTGTCACAATACTCAAGTTGTTTACTGCCAGTTTTGGCTATCGATTCAGAAAACTTGTCAAAGATACTTATTTGAATTTTTCTTCCAGTGAGGGAAAGATTCATCTGTAACTAGTAGGAATTACATGCAATCTCGACTGTAAGGTGCTGAACATGCCACATTCAGAAAAAAAAAAAAAAGTTATCTTACTGTAGGCAATGAGTGGTCCCACTGTGGTGTTTCTTTGCAGGACTGAACCTTATGTGAAAGGAAATGAAGGCTACTCACCTGTAACTAGCTTCTGGGATGATCAATGCACATTTACGCTTTTGAGATGCAGTCTGGACTGACAGAACTGATTCAAAACAGTGCTTGTTGGAACACTCATGCCCTTTTTTACTACCTTTCTTTACATTTAAAAACTGGAACTACATAATGGAGACACAACGAACAATTAATTCACAGAGCTTGCTTAGGAGCAGAAAGATCTTCTAACAATTGGCCTGATCTTCTGTCCATCATAGATCATAGAACTCTCTGGGACTGAAACCAGTAACTTGCACTTGCTTTGAACTCACATATGTGACCTAGAAAGGAACTCTGTTTTGGTGCAAAGGAGACGAATGATCCAGTGCTGCTTTTCTGAAAGTTGTTTCAGTGTCCAATGGCCTTTGTTTCCCTTCTGCTTCCATTTCCTTTGAATGTGATTGTTTTCAGTATTGGTTCCTTATGTATGTTTTCCATATTAAATTCCTGGTGCAACCTTTGTCTCTATAATACTACACTACCTTTAGATGGTGTTTTATCTTTCAGGAAAAAATAAAGATACTAAGCCAAAACTCTTATGTTGTACAGCACGTTTTCTCAAGCACAAACTTTATGGCTCTTCTCTGTCCTACTCTCAGTTTTCCAACAGCTTAAAATACTGAGAGCTGAATTAGACATAGCATTCTAGCATCAGTGTCACTAATGCCTGAAATAACCGTTTTACTTCTATTTAGTACTATCTTCTGAATGCACTCAAGGATAACCTTAATCTCTTTCATTATGGCATCACACCAACCTCTCCATCATTACCACTAAAGCCTCCTCAGTCAGCATTCACCATGGATATAGCATTCACATCAACAGGCTGCATTCCTTGATCCTCATCGGGCTTTGGAGTACTGTTAACGCCCAGTTTATTCGAATGGACTCACCTCTCTAACAAACTGCAACTTCTCTGCATGACTGCCCAACTCTCACCCATGTTTATCATTCAAACAACTCACGCCTCAAAGGTTTTCAGCTGTTATACTCACCTTCATATGACTGAGAAAAACAGCAAACAGGATCCACCACAGAACTGATATAATGTCCCTAGAATCATGTTTCATGAACCCATTAAGAGATCTGCTAATTGTTATTCCAATGAACGCTTATTTTTTAACATGGCAAAAAGCTAATCTACCTAATGAGAATAATTTAGGTATTATTTGGACAATGTCCTGTTGATGGGAAATATTACTCACCTATTCAGCTACCTTTATTAATCACTTCCCCCTCCCCGCCGCTTAATGTTACATTTCTTTAAAAAAATCATTTTCCATAATGTATTTCGATTTGCATTACCCCCAGCCCTCTTGTTTTTCAGTAACAAAAACCTGAACTCAAATCAAAACAATTAAAAAAAGAGGCAGTAGGGAAGAGAGAAAGTTAATGTGCAGAAGTAATCTTTAAGAACTCTATTTTCAGGTAAGCAACTTTCATTATTTATTTATGCTCTTTTCCACTGCCCAAATTTTGGTAAACAATAGCTCTTCCTCTGGATGACGGGAAGGGGAGACTATAGGAGCAGTGTTGCCTTACCAAACATAGGCATCCAATACAATATCAAATCTAATTAATCAAGCTATAAATAACAAATCTATTTTTAACCTAAGACATCCTTAGATCTATGCAGCAGACCGTAAATGCTGCTTTCTAACAGTAACATGGTCTAAGCACTTCCTGAAAAAAGAATAGTGGAAGTTCTTGCTTAAGTGGTAGTATTTACTTTAGACTGGTAAAGGAAACTAGTATGACTGGGATGAATATGGATGAACAGGTGCTGTTCTTACTGTTTTTCTAATAAGGAGTGGTATAGACATTTTCCTATATTATCTGGAGTTATACAAAATGAATTCTCCTTAATAACCTTGCCATACAAGTTGGGTACTAACTAAGGTTCCTAACTTGGTTCCTAACTAAAAATAAGGGCTAAAGATACAGGGAAATCCACAGCCTTAATTTGTAAATTTGTAACCTGGTATATGCCTAAGGATAAATTTTGACTATGAAAGAACCATTTTAACTTTATGAAGATATAACAGAGTAAGTTACTGAAACTTACTGGTTTCAGTTACAACCCTGGTTATCTTGTATGCTACAGAATAAGTTAAAACTGCAAAGTATAAATAAGCCCAAAGGCAAGTTTTGTAATAAAAACTCTCTTGCCTTCCAAATCTGAGAGTTTCACAGGTAAACATTTAAAATTTATTATAACTGCACACTGTTTTTCAACCACCATATGAGTGAAGACCAATAGCTATTCACTAGCTCGGTAAGAATGAAAGAAAACAGAAGATGAAAAATTGATTCTAACAACGCAGAGAAGATTCTGATGAGTCTGCTACTGTAATTGTGAAGTTGACCAAGTCATTGGAGCGGTACTGAACGGTGCATAGGGAAATATGCCATGAGTCCAGGCTGGAGTGTTGGCACATACCCAGAATGTGGATATTCACAGACTATTCAAAAAAGACATTTCTACACAAATCCAGAATATTCTCATTTTAAAAATTAAACAGATCTAAAAAACTATCTGGATTACTCATATTTTATAACATTTATAAAAATGTCATGCGCACACTGAGCTAATGTCAGCTCTATAAAAAAAAAAAAAAAAAAAAGAAGCACACTCACTGTAACTGATTCTCCTAGCATACCCAAATACTTATTTCTGTTATTCCCACTAACCACTTGCTTCCAGCTCACTGGAAACAAGCTATCTGAAATTTGCTTAGAATGCCTTTGAGTGTGCCCCACTTGATAACAATACATGCAACAAGAAGTGTGCAAACTTGACCAATGAAAAATTTTTCTGCTCGAGTATCTCAAAGAGAACTCTGAAAAAAACAGAATATACGAGGTTGGAAGGAACCCCTAACTCTCTGCACCCTCCCATCACATATTTTACACACTGGTAACATCTCCTGAGCTTTCCTTTCTCTAGACTTACACAATCTCAGCTCTCTCAGCCTTTCCACATGGCAGATGATTCAATCTCGTAACGATTTTAACAGCCTTTTACTGGACTCACTCTGTATGTCCAGATCTCCCCTGTAACAGGGAGCCTGGAACTGGCCTGGTGCTTCACAGAAACTTCAAACCAGTTATCTCACCACACACTACAACATGGATAATTAAAACATACCTATGCCCAGTTATGGCCTCTTACTTTATTCATGAGATTATGAAAATGATCTTCAAACTGAGATTTTTTTTTTGGTGTCAAAGAACATTTCAAACTGGCAAGAACTGCCACCAGTGCCAGGAGAGACGGCCTCACCTGTCTCCTGCACTTGTCCACTCACATTTCCTCCTTCACTGCCCATCCTTTGTGCCAGCGTAAGTGTTTGTGCAGCTACAAAGTGAAACAGAAGGAATCCACCCAAAAGCTACTCCCAAAAAATCCCACTGTGCTTTTGTTACACCAGAATTAGTTCTCCAGTCCAGTTTAGCTTATGCCTGTATGAATGGTGGAACAAGGACACTGATGAGAGCTTTTCCACCATGTCATCTTAAAAGGTATGTCAACTATAGCCTTACGTTTTTAAGTTGGTGGAGTTAAGCTGTTAGAAAACAAAAAGTAGCCCTGTTCTCCCTTGGGGCAGACATCTCAAAGTTCAAGACCTCAACTGTCAGGTAAAAATGAGACCATTCACTGATTTCTAAATGGATACATGGCATCGTTTCCTATGCTTGGACACATTTGATGCGGATATCCCTAAAAGCACTGAAATAGTTACAGATGTTTTAGAAGTTTTATTTCTTCCTACCTAAGCCACAGGAAGAAAAATCATCACAGCTGCAGTTCTATTTTTCTAACTTAATTTTAGAAGCAAACTAAATCATATTAGCTGATTATTCACCATGCAAAGTGGATGTCAAATGATGACATAGATGATTTGTAGGTTCTGGAGCTAAATTCCCCCCAAATTTGCTTCACCTCATAGAGAAGTTGTATGTTGAAGGCTGAAGTGAGGCAAAATCTGCCTTCTTCAGAGGATGTTGCTCATCAGTCATTGTACACATGGCCACTCTTCTACTGCTTCCAGTTTCTGATTATGTAAAATATTTTGTTGTGCTATTTCTTCTCCTCTTTTATAGACGAGAGAAGCACATTTCCTTCGTAAAAGCATTTTCAGTTTGATTTAAAAAAACCCTTTCATTTATCAGCTCTTTGTTGTTTTGGCAAATGAGTTCTCTCTGGCAGGCTTTCTTATTACTCTTAGTAAGAATGATTTCCAGCTTGGCATTTTTTTCTGATTCAATTGTCTCTTCACTGTCCTATCTGTTTCTTCTTTGTAATTCAGGCCAGAACATAACATCCATTTGCAAACAGAACAAAATAAACAAACAAAAAAAAAAAGCCCATGGCCTCTGTCTTCGTAATAGACACTCATCTGACCTCCATCTAAGAGTTCTCTCTCTAGGACATCCCAACACATCCCAAGTAATTAATTCTGCCAAAGAAATTAACAAGCAAAGGAAGGGATATTTTTTTTAAATCAACACAGCATGTTTATCCACAAGAAATAACATGAGTCCACAGTAAAAATCAAGTGTTTTAAATGTCTATCACAATGCTGAGGAAATAATGTCAAAACTTGCAGGCAACCACACTAGTCCTCACAACATACTCCTCTGCCCACTACTCTACCTATGTAACAGCACATTCCCTACTCTATATTGCTGGTCAGCCCTAAACAGAAGCTGTTCTAAAGTCTTTTTGCTAAGTCATTGTGGCCAATGAGGATAATTGCAGTGCAGGCTACAGCTGTGAATCACTGTCTCATTTAACTTCCTGCCACCCTATTCAGCAGCCTTCTGTGACCTTTCAATCATCTGTGAATGAAGCTCATCTGCTCTGATTTACCATATTGTACTATACTACAGTATTTCTTCGCTACTGTGCCCTCCTACTCTTTACAAATTCTCTCTTTTCTGTTCTGTATCAATATTATCCATTTCATCGATGTGAAAGCATGACTCACAACCGACTGCATGTTTGCTTCCTCACTGATAGGAGAAATTCAATGACCAAAGGAACTGAATGCTTAACTGTAGCAAAAAAAAAAAAATCTGTATCCGTAGACAATTTGCATTGTCTCATACTCCAAAAATTTCTTGTTTCTTTGAGCATTTTAGGTTTATCACTGCCACAGGAATTTTCACAGTATTCTACAGCCATGTCACAAACATCCAGGTAAAACTTCAAGTATTTATACGAGTCAACGTTGTCTGAAAAATCAATGTGAAAACTAATCAAATAGCCAATATGCTCTTTTAGCAAATAATTTTGACCAAATCACTCATTTTTGTATTACACAAAAAACTTTTTTACCTGTGAGGTTGACATGCGAGAGGTATCTTGTCGGCCTGTTAAGTCAGATGATGAGATATTGACTGGAGCACCACGATGCAATCGCATACTCACTTTCCTTTCTCGTTCTATACCCGACACTGGCCGAGGAGAAGTGTTGGCTATAAGAAAAACTCTTTTAGTATTCTGATAACGAGAAATGGAACTAAGCCGTGATTGTTTTTTTTTAAAAAAAAATGTATCTTGTTGTTTGCTTATATGGTTTCCACAGAGCCAATCCAGAGAAATTAGGGGCTTTGTTCTATATCCACAGAAATTTTTAAGCAGCAACTGGCAGGTTTGGGGTGTGTACTGTTACCTTCAATCTGTTAAAAATCAGCCAACCAAAAAAAAAAAAAAAACTAAAGACAAATACAAATCGGAGTTCCTAATTCCTCTTTTCCAAATATCAGAAACAAACTGCAAATTAGAGTATTCTGCAAGGCTACTTACCAGCATGTGAAGTTGGAGTAAGAGGGGTAGGAGGAGCTACATCTTGTGTTCCCCTCAGCCTGCCAGAGGCAGTGGAGGGTAAGCCGCGGACAGCGGGATTTCGTGAATGTCTTAATCTTTCCTCTCGTTCTCTCCTTTCACGTTCAGCATCTTCAGCAGCTCTGCTTGCACCCTGTAGATTGAGACTAGTGAAAAACTTGTACAGAACTTAGAAATATGTATTCCAATGAATACTGAAAATTAAAAATATGTTAAGCGCAACTTGCCAGGGCACTATTTTTTGGGTGAAAAATCATGAAAACTGTCATAAATTCTACTCATACAACTATCAGAATAGTCTTCAAAATGTAAAGCACATGCTTACTGTTTTGGCAGCTGGACCTCTAATAACAGTTTCAAGTGACTGGAGCTGAAGATCAAGACAAAAAAAAAAAGTAATTCAGCAACCTAACCTGGGGACTGCCCTGACAGAAATAACTCAAAGCCTTATACATTTAAAACTCCATAACTGCAGCTTAGTTGCCATTCAACCTCTTCTTGTTGCTCCCACAACTCCTCCATTTTCCAGCTTCCTGGTCTTTTTCCTAGACATTAAAACTTCCAGGGGAAGAGACAAAACTTACCAGTGTCAGTAAAGAACTGACAATGTAACAGAAAATATTGCTACAAAAAAAAAAAAAGTTCTAGTAATCTATATCAGCTACTCACAAATTTGAGCATGTTCCAGTCAAACACATAGTCATAGGAGAATCCTTGTCGGTGGAAAAGGTTTCTGAATAACTGCCTTAGATAGGAATAGTCTGGTTTGTCGTCAAAACGCAAAGAACGGCAGAAATTCAAGTATGTAGCAAATTCAGCTGCAAAAAGAAAAAGCTTGTTTTATTTTTTTATTATTATTTTTTTGCTTCACCCCCCTCTGGCTTCACATTTACTTTTTATAATTCTGAGCCATAAGTACACCCAGAAAAAGGAAATATATGTCTATTGCAAAGTAGCAAAGATCCCACTTGTCAACAGCAAAAGAGACTGATCATTAGGGTTTGAGGAGACAGGTTTAAAACTATAGTTGCAACAATGGAAAGCAGGTTTTACTTTGCTTTTTCTGCTCTGAATATAATTAAACTGAACTTCAGGTGTAATAGCACCTCTTGCTATAAAGACAAATGAAAATTCATTTCTGCTAAACATCTCACCAAGATGAGACACAGGAACAGAGGGGAGGAACAGAACATGGACACCTAGTAATCTCCCAAGTCATGTTGCAAAATTAGATTTTCAATATGCTGAACCCCTGTTTTTATAAGGCACACAAAATATGAGCTACAGAATATGACTGTGAATGGAATGTGCCAGAGATAACGCTAGTTTTTGAATTAAAATGTCTCTAGTTGAAAGACTATATTGATAATTTTATGTTAAATAGGAAATTCTAGCAAATAGCCCAGGAAAAAAAATGATTACTTTTCCCTAACCCCAAGGGACAAAAACAGGTAATGAGTGTAAAGGAATGTAAATGAAGTAACATTTGAAACAGAGCCAAGAAAACAAGTTTCCATACAACCATAATAACAACTACAATCCTCATAATCATCAGTAGTGGCCAAGAGTGTGAAAATAGAGAGAACTTTTCCTGTGAGAGAGCAATTTCTGTAATAGGAGTTAATGTTAACAAGATTTAAAGCAGATTAAGTACGATTTTGCATGTCTCAAAAACTTTCTAATTATTAACATGAGGACAACACCCAACAGAGGCAAAGACTAGCCTTGAGGGATCTCACTAGAATAGAGGAGGGCTTCTTACACTTATCACAGATGCTGGACACTGATCAAGCAAGCTAGACGAACCAAGCACAAAAATTACTAAATTAAATAACTACAAAGGGTAACAGGTGAGTTTGGCTATACAATCCTAATCATTCATGAACATTACCCACACGTATGAAGAAAGAGGTGGTTTCTCAAAAGGCTGTTCAGTTGTTGCAATTAACCAGGCAGCGTAAACACACATATGCACAACACTGCGTAGGTCAGATATACTGACCTAAACCACCAATCTCAAAGGCATGGCAACGACTGTACATTAAATACTTACACAGAGGAGAATTAGAAATGATCTAGGGACACAGAGTCTTGAAGTACAGTATCTCTATTACAAACATTCTCACACACTAACACAAGTCAGAAAGACTAGTAAATCACATGTTTCAAAACAATCTGATACAGGAGCTAGAATTCGATGTAAACAAAAAAGCAATACCACTAAAAAATAAACATCTAAAGCCAGTGCCACAAAAGAGTAACTTACAAGGATATCCTTTACACAAAACCTCAATGGGTGTAGACATTTTCTTTTCACTGATACGTTCATATTTCTGCCTCTTTGTTGCTGCCTTCAGTCCCTGCCAGGGGAGGGAGCCCAGGTTAAAATACATCAGTACATAGCCCAAGGACTCCAAGTCATCTCTGCGAGATTGTTCTACAACAGCATAAAAAAGTGCACTCATTAGGTTTGATTTTCTACTGGAAAAAACAAAACTGTGCAACAATGTCACAAGATGTCTTAAAAACATGACAGAATGCAGAAGATTAGTATGTCCATGATAAACCTATCCAACGCTACAAATCCTATGACTCTTGCAATTGTTAAAAATGTACTAATTCTGTGAAATTACATAGACTGACTCCCTCCTCCCCAACATAAGCCTAAGCATAATGCACTGTTAACACCAGGAGTAGGGACCATCTTCCAAGCACCTGTAAAGCAACTTTTGATTGCTAAAATTATCAACATCTAAACTAAATAAACGCTAAATTTTCTATTTATTGTGTTCTCCAACTCACCAATACCAAGATGAGTATTGATGGATGCATAACGGGCAGTTCCGGTTAAGTTTTTATTTTCACGATATGGGATATGTTGATGAGTTCGAGCATCTCGATATTTCTTTGCTAATCCAAAGTCTATTATGTAGACAAGATTGCCCTTCTTTCCGAGGCCCATTAGGAAGTTATCCGGCTTCACGTCTCGGTGGATGAAGTTTTTGGAGTGAATATATTCAATTCGGCTAATCTAGATATACAGGATCAAAACATTTGAGAGATTACATACTTTTTTTTTCTTAAAAAGCATGAGAAACATGGTCTTAAAAAATGGATTTTTTTTTTTTTTGTAAAACATAGGGGCATTAGCAAAATATAAAAGACAATAGATAAATCTCTAGTTTTCCCCTGCCTATTCCACTTCTTTTTCTAAAAAATCTTCTTTGAGGAAATGCATTTGAGAAGTATAATAGCTTCTTTGCAAATAGCTCAGGTTCAGGTTTTACAATCAAATTAAGACTTTATAATTACTTTTGATGAGAGAGTTTATGTTTACAGAAATAAAACTGATTGAACCTCTTCTCTAATATGGTACACCGTAGTCACCTCTAAATTACTCAAAACAGAATATAATGATCTCTCTTATGAAAGGCTCAACATACTTCATTAAAAAGAACACCAAAGCAGTTTCCTACCATTTGGTCAGCAAGTAAGAGAACTGTCTTGAGGCTAAATTTCCTTGAGCAAAAATTGAACAGATCTTCAAGACTTGGTCCCAACAACTCCATCACCATTACGTTATAATCCCCTTCAGCTCCACACCACTTAATTGTGGGAATACCCACTGGAATAAAACAAAACAAAAACACTCAAAAAAAGAAAACATTCAGGAGTTTTTTTGATTTATACAGGTCTCACATACAGATCCTCAAGGTTCAAAATTCTAAGAGGGTCATTACTGTGAATGTTTATATTTCCACTGAAGTTTAATATTTCATGCTACCTTCAGCCTTTCTAAAAGTCTGAAAATTTCATTAAAAGACTAATACAAAAATATAGCAAAAGAGATCTAAACCAGACTTTTTCCTCTTTCACAGAAACCTCATGGTCTATGCTTAGTTCGTAATGATCCAACTAAACATCTGATAGCACTTAGTAATTTTGCTATGCTTGAATCTTTAAGTTTTTGTAAAAAATTACAATCATGTAATACCCAAGATATCAATAAGGGGCAAACCAAAAGTCTGAAAATATAGACACTGGTCAAATCACTAAATATTATTATTAAAGAAAAGTTTAGAAATCAATTACTTTATTTCAAAGCCTACAAGATCACTTCAAAAGACCTCTCGTTTCCCTCTGAATTTGGAATGACTTTCTCCCCTTGCTTCATGTTACTGCCTTT